AAAACAAAGAGAAGATGCTTGAATGACTGACCACCACACGTGGGCAGGGGATAGTCGTCAGAACTGGAAAATCTTCAGAATTGTCCTCCATCTACAGGCATTGGCTCTGATGTTTTACTGCTGCCAGATACCAGGGCTTTGAGAAGGGTCAGGAACCTGGCAGACATGAGTAGTATTTTCCTGTCTTCCCAAGTAAATACGTAGTGGACAACTGATGCCTCTCTTGACTCAAATCTATACTGCTGACTTGCTCTTTGGGTTGCCCATCATGGTAAGGTAAGACATGGACCTCTTCAGCACCTTGCTTGGGAAACCACAATAGGGAACACATCTGATTTACTTGAAAAACAGTCCATCACTTCTGATGTTTGAAATTGGAAACCAAGCGTTAGCAGGGTGTATGGGTTTTGCTAGCATTATGGGGGTTTTTGTGGCAACCAATTAACAGCAGGCACTGAGATTGGCAAAGTGGATATTTATCAAAAAGGACTGACTGATGGGTATGGAGTCTGACTGTTGATACAGAGTCTTAATGGTCCCCGTGTTCTCTGGTGACCCTCAGGTTAGTGCATGTGCTTGAGGCATTGCAGGCACAGGGGAAGAGGGTCTGAACTTGGCAGTGGGTATTTCCCAAGAGACTGGATGGCAAGAATGAAAGAGCTGTGGAAGCTGGAGGGCCAGCACTGATGTTTCAGTAGGCAAGAACAGCATTGGCAACTGACACAGAGCAAAACACCTCTGAAGAGCAAAACACCTCTGAAGAGCAAAACCAGAAGAGCATTACCAGAAAGACCTGTCAAAACTGACGGAAAATCAGGGGACTAGCAGAAATCACAAGAATGAGCAGGACCACGCACATACACGATATCTGATGATGGCTGAACACAGTCCTCCACACTGACCACCCCCAAACGGTGTTGGAGGACCACAAAGCCCAAGAACTGAGGGGTCTCCACAGTGATAGGACCTGGAATTTTCTCCACTGGGAGAAACAGCTGCCAAACTCTGCAAGCTTTGTTTGTCGGTGGAAGCTGATCTTACTGCTTTGTAACAAAACACAGAGAATGTCTCTTCAGGAACCCAGCAGACAAGACTAGAGGAAAGATGTGGGGAAGAAGAGATGCCTTCTGTAGCATAGCTCTGCCCCGTCTCTTCTGTCTGCTAGAATCACCCAATACGCAATGCATTTCGCATGTCTCAGGAGTGTACTGTCTCCATTTGCACCTTTTAAAGTCCTGCATAGTAGCACAAAGGGGATGGCACAAGGAGGTTGTGGGAGACGAGAGAACTGTGCTATGGAAGGAAGAGACCCTCGTCAGTATTTCTGCCATCAATACTTTGGGGAGGAAAGAAAAAGAGAATCCAAAACCCCAAACCCCACACTAAATTTGCACTTGTTCTCTCAGGCTGGCAGCCTAGAAATTAATAAACTCAGAAGTACCGTGTTCTGGAGTAAACTGTTCTGAAAACAGTTTCCAATGGCTTCCCCGAGTTTGCTATGCTGGTGGCAGCCCTTCGGCTCCATGCTGGCACATGTATGAAGCTCTTTGAACAAGTTTTGACCTTCCTTTAGCCCCTCTGCCCATCAAGCCAGCTAATGACATGCTTCGTATTGCACAGAACACATACAATTGACAAGTTCATAGTGTTGTTTAAATATTAAACAGTCTAGACAGGCTTTTGGGTCTTACGCCGCTATGAAAAGGGTCAGACCATACCCATCTCTGAAATTGGGCTGCGGGATCATTTGCACAGTAAGACAGACAATAAGACTTGTATACATTGCCATGCAACAGAAGAGACCCCGAACCGCCAGCCCTAAGTGGAAAGTTTATTTCTAAGCACAATATATGGAAAAACCAAACCAACAAACCCCACAGATATAGAAAACGTTGTAGCAAATCCCTGGTCAAGTAGGACTTCATGTCTGTCACTACCCTGCACCTCACAGCTGCTTAAAATGTCATGCAATGGAGGAGAGGGCACTCGGACGACACCCTCCGCTTCAGATCAAGGAGGATCTCCAAGCAGGAGAGGGCCGACAGGACTCCCGCAGAGCGATTCGGACTGTAACCAGCAAGAGGTCAGCGCTGCTCACCCCCACCACACGCTTCGTGACTACCGGTGGTAGGCTTAGCACTTCAACAGGCTTTACCAACGTGGATTCTCACAACACCCCTGTGAGGTAGGTACGTATTGTTATTCCCCCTTTGCGTGGAGGGGGGACTGAGCCAAACAGCCCAAGGCTACAGAGTCGGTGGCAGAGCTGGAGTGAGAGTATGCAGAGTCCTGTGTGCTCAGATTACTAGATCACACCACTCTTTCACGGCAAGTTGTGCTTCTGACCTCATAAACTTTTAGCTGTTAGCCAAATTAAAGGAATTTGACTTCTCCGTATTAAATAAGTGGAGGGCAGGGAGGGAAAAAACATCATGTCTGTCAGCTGTCCCTTTGTCAGTGCATGCTTTCCCCTTCCCAAGACCACCATAATTACTCATCTCTTGGAATGAGGACAGCTTCCAGGACAGGCATGGGGGCGAGAGGCTGCTGTGTTTGCTTGCTTTGGCCAGGTTTCTCGCTACTGTGGATCAGAAGTGGTTCTTCCAGAGACCGTTTGTTGCAACACCTTCATTCTGGGGGTAGCTGCTCTTAGAGATGATTGGAATTGCCCCTTCCCTCTCCCTCCGCCCACAAACATCCCTTCCCGCCCCTCTGCCAAAAGCACTCTTTGGTAGATAGTAAGATTGGTCAGATAAAAGTACAGTGGCCTCAGAAACCATGCTGTTTCACATGGGTCCTCAGTAAATCAGCTTTCTTGGCCGGTGTTTCACCTCCCACATTCTCTGCCAGAGAAGTACCTGTTCTGTTGCATTCTGATATTCAAAGGGACACTGTCAAGTAATCGAGGTGAAAAATACAACCTGCCTTAAGATGCTAACCTCCATCTTCAACGTTGCAGAATGGCTGGTGTGTTCAAACATGGAGGCTGAAGAAGGACACTTTCCCCAGTCCACCTGGCCCATGACCATGACAGCCGGGCTGCCAAAGGAGCTGGTGGCTCACGTTTGCCCTGGCTGCAATCGAAGCTGCGAGAGGTACCGGTGCAACGACTCAGGGCAGCTGGACGCAGCCATTCTGCAACGCTGTTCAGCACTGCTGCTAAATGGATGCGGTTTGGCTGAATTTTGTGGGAGCTGGGTTCAGGCTTGATTGCTACAGGCTCGTTGTTTTGGGATTACTGAGCTGTTGCTCCTCAGTTAGCGACTCTTTGCAATTTTAGGGTTCCTAAATACGGTTTCATATTTTTACGCTTCCTTTGTGGCAGTTGCACTGGCAAAAGAGCTCAGCCTTGCAGAGCTGGGACGTACCCTCCATAGAACGAGGACAGTCATCAGGAAACCACTAACACGGATTTCCTCCTGTTGCAGAAGAAAGGTGGGGAGGAGAAGGACGGGCATGGTGAAAGGAATGGGGTGAGTAGAGAGAACGGTACGTGCCCAAATGGAAAAGGACAAAATCGGTGGGGAAAGAAATTTTATTGTCAAGCTTGTAAGAGAATATTACAAACAATGGAGAGTAAAAAAAGCCCAAACCCTAAAAACTATTTAAAAAGTACTTGACAGTGTCCCTTTAATATCCACAAATGATTCAGCCATTGTGCATTGAAAGAGAATGTTCCTGAAGAGCAACCGGTACCTTCGAGGATGTATCTCAGAGAAGGAGAGTTATTAAAAGTGTTAGATATTCGATCAGCAACTGTGCTCCCTCTTCAGACTAACTCTCTCGTGAATGATTGAATGGAACAGACTCTGTAATAAACTAAGAGACTGGATGGGGAAAGGCTCAGCCTACAAGACTGAGTGAGACTGTTGCGAATCGAGCAGCAGGGATACAGACACTGAAAAAAAGGATGTACGACTCTAACGCATGAGTGTCTGAATCAGCAAGGCAGCAGAACCCCACCGAGATGGGTTGGCTTCTTGTGACTGGAGTAAAACAGAAGGAAATAAACATGGGATGTCTGCGTGGGAAATGTTCATGTGAGTGGCAAGATTCAGATGCTGGATTTGGGGTTATGAAGGCATAAATCACCAGTACTTGTGCTTGAAACACCTGCGGAGCATTTGTACAAAATTTGCCAAAAATGCCTATACGTCGAATAAAGGTCATGGAGCACCCTCCCCCCCTCCCAGTTCCACCCCCACAAACCCTTTGTCAGGAACATTATGGAAAAAAAAAAACCTTTTTTTTTTGTTTTGGTGAAATTTGGGTATGCGTGGGTTTCGTTAGGTTTTCTTGGTGGGATGATTCAATCTCTCCTTCTGTAAATCAATACTGAAAATTCCCCAGCCATTTCACTTCAGGTATCCTACGGTAAGTCGAACAAGGCTCCCGAGTGACTCATGAAACGAAACGACTCACAGCCCTGGTTAATCACAGTCTGGAAAATAAAAATACTCCAAATATTTCGTTCCCTTCCTTGTTTCTATAAATCTCACACTCCGTGTGTGTGTATTTGTGTGCGCGTGCGTGTGTGTAGGGGGGGGGTGTACAGAGCGTTACCTATTCCAGGTAATAGGATTTGTAAGACATGCTAAACCGTCTGTTCCTCTGCTTCCCCAGAACTCTGCCTACTCAGTTTGTAGTCTGTATTGCACTTGTTTTGTTGGATTTTTTTTTTTTGTGATTTGTGTTGTTGTTGGTTTTTTTCTTTTTTTTCTTTTTTTTTTTTAAACCGGCTGGAAAACATTAACCTCTTTAGCATGAGTGTGCAGCTCTCCCTCCACCTGCTTTTTTCCTCAGCTGGCCAGGTGCCGCCTCTTATATCTTGTGCAGTTACCAAAAAAGAAAAGGAGAGGAGGAAAAGGAAAAAAAAAAAAAAAAAAAGAAAAAAAAAAGAAAAGGAAAGGAAAGAGAAAGAAAAAGGCACACCATGCTCCTCTGCTTTATGAGTTCTTTGTCTCCTCCTCTTCGTGTTAAGGCCTCCTGAATTCCTCGGCTCAGACCGTCGTGACCCTCATGACGAGCTCTCTGTTACTACTAGACTGACTCCTCTGTTCGTGAGGCCTCAGGTGGCTGAGTATATGCAGGATGGTATAAGCACAGTGGTGGTCAGAGAGGGTGCCTGTGGCATGGCCGGCAGCCCGTGCCCCGCTGTCGGCTGGAGCGGAGTTAGTGGCTGTACCACCAGTGGAGGACGAGTGGGTGGTTTGGGAGGAGGGGCGCTGATTTGTCCTGGTCCCTGTTTTTTGTTCCTCCATGTCCTTTGTTTTGTCATAGTTCAGCACTTTCCACTGCTGATTGACCGCCTGCCACCGTTTAAAAATCCGGTAAACCGAGGGCCCTTCGTGTATTATTAGACCTGGAGGGAAGGGGGAAAGAAATAAACATAAAACAGAAACAAAACTTTAGAAAGAACCATAAACCTACCCCAGCATCCTGCCCCCAGCTAGCTGGTTAGCTCAGCTCTCCCTCAGCCAGTGTTTATTCAACGATAAATCACGTATTTTAATTACCGACTGGCAGGGCACCGGTGCTCCTGCTCTGCTGGATCCCTTTTCCCCTGAACTAAAAGGATTACAGCTTTCTCTCAGCAATCAATAAATGGATGGCAAACGCAGCAGAGTGAGTTATGCTCTTACAGCAAAACTGTATCTGTTTACCAATAAATGCCCGAGGTTTATCTATCACCGGGCTGGTTTTGCATGCTGCATAGGCATGATTCACCCAGCTAACGGCGTGTGTTTGGAGGGGGTGTAACTGGATCTGACGTGCCGGTGACGTCTGCTGCACCAGCGTCATGTGCATGCACAGCCCGAGTCTCTCCCCACACACACCGCAGCAGAGCAGACACGCACATGGAGGCCAGAGGCGGCAATCAAGCAAAAAAAAAAAAGGGTCTGTCTATACCTATAAAGGGTTTGTCATCCCAGGCAAAGTTTTGCTCATCTGCAGAGCAGGAACCTCAGTGCACGTCATCGTTCCCTTCCAAGGGGGAAAACAACACGCTTGAAAGAAAGGGCAGATGAGCTTCCACCCGTGCGCGCCGAGCGTGCGCGTGATGCCTGTGTCCCGCTACCCATCTGCATACAGCAGCGCTGATGGCCGGGGATGGCCCTGGGCTGGAGACAGACAACTGACCCCTGATGGCCTCTCCATTTGAAAGAGAGTGAGCAGCACAAGAAGCAAGAAACAAAATCATGCCGAAATGAGAATGGTTACCTTGAGCACCGTTGTATGGGGAGGTGATGGTCACCATAGAATAAAGTGGTTTACTGCTATCCCTGGTGAATCGAATGCTAGGGCTTTACCCTCCACCCAGCTTTTCCAGACTGTTCCAGTTTCTGATGGCAGGTAATTACTGGAGTAAATCTTTGCATATCAAAACCCCAAATATCTGAAGATCATCCTACCCTTAAGGCTGACCTCCCCATTACTCGCTGATGAGATGCAGCCACCTGGTTTCTGAGGGTCTGCATCTGATTATAGAGTTTAAACTTTAGCTTCAGTACAGACTGAGTTTCTAGCCTCTCTGGTTTTAAGCATAACGAGAAGCCCTGCTGACTTGATCACAGAATAGCTTCAGGCAGACTCTCACATTCATCGTAATAGGGTGCTGAGCCTGCTTACTGGCTGTGGAAGTAATCACATTAGATAGTTTAAGTATTCAGATCTGGCTATTTTGGGACAGGGAACGGCACTGGGCAACTACAGTTCAGGAGAGATCTTTACTCTGGTTCCTATAGACCCGTGAGATTGCACAGCTGTAATCCTGTAGTGATGCCAGCTTTTCATCACAAAACACCATGATGTCACAATAGAAAAATGTGGTTTTTTCCTCCCTACTTTGCAACACGGTTGAGAATTCTGACATCTTCTGATCAAAGCATCAACCACAAAAAGCAGGACTTAGGGAAAGCCTGCAGATCCAGCCAAGGCGACAGAGCTTTGAAGCAGGCCCGAAGTGGTTCAGCCCATGACAAGGGACATTAGGCATATATTTAAATGAGCTGTCTGATCTGTAACGAATGAAATTCCACTCTGATCAATGACAGAGCCAATGTTTCTCTGAGACCACTTTAAGCCTCAGATAAAAGAGCCAAAATCGAATGTTTTCTCCTTGGCTGTAGAACATTCTCCATAGAATCAAATCCATTCTCCAAAGTATTAAACACTGAGCCAGGATTGTAAATCTATTCTTAATTACCTTATCACAAATATTTAATGCGCAGCCTGATTCAAGAGGGCTGTTTATAAAATTCTTGTTTGTTTGCCTTCTAATTATAAATGTTTATGATCTTATGCAATTAACTGTGTGATGCTGATGGATGGGTTGCTGAGTCAACTGAGCACCTGTTTTCTTAGATAATTTTGGTTTCCAAATATTTATAAAAGTACGAAATAACTTCTTTTCATCTGTATTTACTAGGCTCTAAATTACTTATCGATTTCCCAGTGTCAAGCTCAGGAAGCTGTAAAATTAAAAAGAAACCAAGTGGAGGGGTGGGCAGGGAGGTGGAAGTAACGGTGATTCATTTGCAAGAGTAAATGCCAAGAGTAAGCAAGAGTCCATCAGTTTATATCAAGCTGCAGGACGCTTAATGCTCCCATCAAAACAAATTTTGTCTGCCTGAGATAAATTAGGATTGGAATTCCTACGTTCAGCTCTGTGCATCCCTTTCCAGAAGCTCCCCTCCCTCAAGGATCATCCTTGTTTACAGAGGTGAAACTTTCCAATTAAAGGCCAGACTTAAGTGGGAAATCCTTCAGGAAGAACTGTATTCAGCTAGAAGCGTCCAGCTAGAAGCAATTATTCCATAAGCCAAATCCTGTGTATGTGGGGAAGATAGCAGCTTGGTGTGAACTTCCTTTTTTGTGCAATTCTCTCTTTTCAGTGCAGAAATGTCTATATGAGAATTTCAGATGGATTCTGGCAGTGGCCTGGTCCTTTTCCACTCCTCCCAAGTTCATCTCTCCCCCTTCTGCTCCACAAAATCCGTTCTCAATGGATCCTCTGTGAAAACTATCCTCTTCAGAAGGAAAATCCCAGTGAGTTTCATGCAAAGCGTATTGGCCCAGATTGTTGCCTGGTCTGTGAAACCCACAGTTTGCAGTGCTGGTGCAATGAAACTCCTGTGGAACATGGGCACTGAAGATGTGCTGTTCTCACGTAGAGACCTGGCTAGAAATTCCTTGAGCTGAAAATTTTTAAACGCTGGAAGAAGTATTTAGGGAAACTATAATATACACTTGGCTTGCTCCTATTTCACTCTTATGCCTGTTTGTGGCCATTGATGGAAATGGGGCAGCTGGCTAGATGGAGCCTTGACCATTCTTATATTCTTAGACATTTCTACTTGCACTGGCTTGTGCCATGAAAAGATTTCCCAGATGACACTGGAGCTGGAGACAGTCCATATTATGTGATGGGGTCATTAACCTGACAGCAAAGTCTACAAATAAAATTTCTAAGGCCTCTGCTTGCATTGCCATGTTGATGCGGCTGTGCTGTTCCCAGGACAAGACGTAGTATTTCTGAGCTAACTTGGTAGGACTGAGCCAGTGCAGCGCTCTGAATTAACGCATGCTGAATCTGGAACAAAATGTACAGGAAACCATATCGTTCTCTTCTCACGGTGTTCACTCTCTCCGTATATTAGCCTTTTTTGCTCTTTCTCTTGTGGCTTTATTATTATTGAGTCCATGCAGAGGATCAGATCATGGTCAGCCCTGTGGAGCTCTGTAGAATCCAGGCAGGAGGGACTAGTGACTATCCTGGGTGCAGGGATTACTTCCCATGCTGAGAAGCTGCTTTGCGCTTCACAGTACAGGCAAACACAGCAGTACCTTGGCAACAGGTTATACCAAAACTGTAGGCATTGCTTACGACGCTATCTTATGCTTCCTTTCATTTATTACGCATGGGAGAGTACCCAGCACCTAGCCACTGTTCTTATGCAGAACCATCACAGTAAGTGACCCAGCCCCACAGAGCACAGAGCCTGGTTCCAGACTGGTTTTAAAGCGACAGGTCAGCAACATCAACACAGGTTGGCTAGGCAAGGGTTGTGTCGGTGCAGTTGCACACACCATCAATGCATGCCCACAGCATCTGAGAGAGCAAGCTGACAATGGCGGACACTGGGGAAAGACTTACTTCTTCCATTTACCCCCCACCCTCACTCTCATTTTCATCCCAGAGCAAGAATAACTGGACTGTTTCTTTTCCAGATGATCCAGATGCAGTCTGCAACGGAGCTAGCACGGGTGAAAGCGGTTCTACTGATTGCCACATCTAACCCTGAGCTTCTGGACTCTTAAAATGCAAGAGTTAGAAAGGGGAGCATGACCAAGGGTGAGTATCAGGGCCCAGAGGTAAGGCTCACATCACTGTTAGGGTTTCTCTGAGCCTTGCAATACCTGCTCACACCACATAATCCACATGGGCAGTCTCTGTGCAAGAAAATGTTCTTGGTGCTGAGGGTGGATGCATATGGGCTGCATGCAGGTGGCTCTTTGACTTTTGGGATTAGTTGGGACAGAGGTGTGTTGCCATCAGCAGGCCTATGGCAAGACTGGCCAAGAGAGAGGTCCTCGGCCCAATGGCTAGAAGGGCTGTTGGAAGAGCATGGGCAAACCCCAGATGTAACAAGGACACCTGTGTTTGTGCCTCTGGATGGGCAAGGGAGGATCAGCTGGTGCACCACCATCCTGGGAAATTAACCCAAGCGGTGTGAGCCTCCAATTCAAGGCAACTTTGGAGCAGCAGATTCCCAGAAATGGCGAGCAGTCACGTTCTGCAAGCTGTCAGCCTCTGCCAACAAGTGATCAGTGTTTTCAGCCTCTAATTAACCTTCCTCTTATTCCAACACTTGCCATGCATTTTCTTGAAAGAGACAGGTAAATTTTGGGGGACAGGAACCATTTCTCCTGTTTGCCAGTAAAGAAACCACCAAAACAAGGCTTCTGCTGGCAGTGAGTGATACATCACCTCTGCGCTGTCACTCACGTTATCTACAGGAGGAAAACCCACAGTCCATTCCAGCCAGTTACTCTGTCCTGCTTCTCATAAAGTCCCTGTCCTGCCACCTGAGCTGTCACCTTCAGCAGCACTTTCCCCCTGTGGTTTCCTTTCGAAATGCAGTTTCACCTCACCCAGACAGCTGCCACGCTTTAGCCTGTTTCTGTTGCTTTCATTTCTGGGTGTCAGGGGAAGATTAGGGGAGCTGTGATCAAAGCTTAATGTTTGCATCCACAGCCGCGGTGGCTCAGGCCAAGGCAAATCAATCCTCCTGGGAGAGAACACTTCCATTGCCAGGCTTTCCCTCTATTGACATCACTGCGTACACAAACCCTTCTATC